TTTCTTTATTTAACATATTTCTGCTTCCTGTTCCAGTATGTACCTATTCTTTTTCAAGACTAAAGAAAAAATTCATTTTTCCCTATTTAAATTTTCAGTAATCAATAACAAAACAAATCTTCTAAGAACAATAAAACTGAATCAATTGAATTTAGAATTATCATCTCTTTTGATTTTGTCCAGAAACAAATATTTATGTAATATAACTTTATTTCATGTAATCATCTTATTCTTTCGTTATTTATTTTATTATTTAAGGAATAAAATCATTCAAAATTACAGAAGTACGCTTTTCGCAACTCGTATATTTGTATTACTTAGGATTTTAGACTTTCATCGTAATATGTATGAAAAATACCGCAAGAGAACATTGAAGAAAGAGAATAGGTTAATAAGTTAAGCTTATTCGGATGTAAATCATTTTATGAAAATATTATATGAGAGTTAGAATAAAATCTGCTAATAAGACACGTAAGCAATTTTATCGATATTGAACAAATAAATGCAGTTAGTCGTAAAATCAATTTTCGTGTTTATATCACGTTTGTTTAATGTATCAATATGCTCTCGTATTATATTCATCGTTGCGGTTTTTACTTGAGCCTCAGGACTAGCATTCATTGGTATCCAGCATATGTCAAAGTTGTGCTACTTTCCCCTGGAGATATTTAATAAATTATTAAATATTTGGACGAGAGCTTTGACTACATTGATTTACGCAAGAACTTTTAGGATTTTTAGAATAGTTGGAAATGAGTGCCACTCTCGCAAATATTATTGCTACAATGGTAATAATCATTCATTTTACACAATAAGCAGCTATCAAAAATATCATAAGACAAATGATTGACAGCAACAAAACATCATTCATAAGTAAATTGCCGATTTATAACATCTTCTAACTTTTCGATATTTTGATATGTTCGACATTTTTTCTTTGAACATTCTCATACTTCTAGATTTCTAATTCAACATTTTTTTTCCACCGTTTTTATACTATTCCTCGTCATACTTGCATATGAATATCATCCATTCTCGACAAACAAAATATTTCCAATGTACCGACAGAAGTTCTTGGAATTATAATGTCGCTTTAAGTTTCATAACTGTTTTAGGTTAAATCTGAGAACACCAAGTAGTCACTCTTGCTATCTTCTTCGTAGAGTCATTCATCATATATTGATGTGATCTTAAAAAATCTATAGCTATTGAATACTATGCTTACTAGAGCTCTATATATTAGAAAATAAATAAGTAATATTGCGGTAACAATTAAACTGCTAATATCTGGTGTAAATGAAGAGACAATATTCACACCCACGCCTATACTCTAAATATGGATTATTATAGATAATTTATCGAACTTGTTCAATGATTTCATATGTAAGCTCAGAAATGGAACAAACAGATCGGTACTCATTATTGATATTATCTCTGCTTTCACGAAAAAGCTCCGCTTATCTTGTAGCTTTTGAAAATGATAGAGCGTTAGGGCCGAAAGCTGTTATAAATTCCTCGTGAATCGTCTTGAAATTTATCCCCCCAGTAATTCAAATTCAAGTATAGTATCGACTGAATTCGTTATCCATTTTTCAATTTTTCTTTTCGTTGAGATTCGATTTTACATGAAAGAATATTATAACTGAACTCAAAATAGATTTATTTTATGTACTTTTATAAGTAAGGCATTCTACTATTTCTTGATGCAATAGACTCTTTAATTTTTATTACTTTATGAAATTGGGTCACACATTATCAGAACTTTTAGTCAGTTCTACGTATTATTTTGAGTTTTTACATCCAAATTCATTTATCCATATGTGAAAAGTCGATTAATATTTCGTAGTTCTTTTGCTTTAGGCGGATAATTGTTATAATCACAATAAAGTGTATATCGCACTCTTTCTAGAATGTTCTTGATTCGTTTCTTGAAACACTGATATCATCGTTTCTTTATGTAATACACGTTATATCACAATATATTTTCAAATATTGGAATGTAGTGCATCATGTCTAATGAAAAACAAATATATATTTGTGATTGTGAATGAAAGATTACTAATTATATACAGTAAGAGAAAAAATTGAATAATGTATCATGAAACTTGCATGTTTATCGCATCATGTAACCTTCAAGTGCATTGTTTGTGCGATATGTAATTTCAATCGAGGGAGAACGATTCCATCGGAATAACTGGAATTCGTTTCCATATATTGACTTAAAAGCTGTTAAAGAAATTTTTTAATTTTTGATATGTTTATAATCAGTTGCAATACAATTGATTAAAAGATCACAAACACTTATTTTGAAGGGATGGCTAATAGCTCGAGTAAATAACTAATTCTTCTATAGCATCGTATTGTTGAAACGATGAAGTAGATTCTAACAGTTCATGAACTAAAATTGAGAAAAATGAAAAACGAATTATGATACAAAAGAATTTGAAGTCTAGAAAGACATTACTTGAGTTTTAACTGTGACACTAAATTGGTCAACAATAATGAAAAAGACAATACAGAATTGAGCTGTAAAGGCATTTGCTGCAGCTTGTGCAAAATCTAATATAATACTAGTAACACTGTGCAATTTAGTACTGTTTCCAGTGTATAATCAAATAAGCCTCATAAATGCAATTCATATTGTTCTTGTTCTCGACCGCAGGTTGGTATGTCGACAAATGGATATACTTCCGAAAGGTTCTCTCCATAATTCACTCTGAATGTTCACTTCTGTATACTAATAATATTTAAAAAGCATATATTAATTAATGAAATTTAGAAATACATACATATTGAGTCAAGAGTCTGTTTTTGAGAGGAAAACTAAGTTTAAAACTTCTCTATGCTTATCGATAAATACTAAACCTTATTTGTCTTATGCCTTATAATTAGATAACTATTTCTTTCTTTTATATTTGTAAATATTTTTAGGTTATATCAAAAGCAGTGGCAGTAACATTTTCATGACTTTTAGCAGGTCAGTTATACCCACCATTCAGAAGTTGGAAATTCAACTACAATTGAAATAGAACTCAAGACACTCGAGAAAATTTAAAGGAATTCAACAAGTAGGGTGGTTCGAAATAATGAAACATACGACCTCAATGGAGGATTTACTAAGAGTGACACCTACAGTCGCAATTTCAGAGCTTCGACCAATAGATGCCAGTTGGTTTTCTTGAACTTTCGGGTGTCGAATCGTTCAAGGAATTAAAGAAAATTAAGGCATTCTATAATTAAGAGCTTGGATCGTGCTTATATATTCAGATCTACCAGTGGGGTAAGAAAGATTGCTACATGCAATTCTGATATGGGTGCTCCAAACGTTGAATTTCACTTGATTTTCTTGAATTTCAAATGTCTGGACAATCAGTACATCTCCTAATGAATGTCTAATTGACTTATAAAAGAGAAAGTCGAATAAGATGAAACTTTGAGTTTTATCAGAGATCTGCTTGGTTCATTCCAACTCGTGCATGATATCGACAACACGCGACAAGACGTCATGACGCTAATTATTTCAATATTTTGAAAAACTTGATCGAGTTTTATACATCGAAGAATCACATGTAGAAAGCAAGTGTTTGTATTGGTATTCAGAGTTTTGTCTTCACGAACCATAAACTTGTAACTTACCATTTTCCATATGATGCTACATATTAAGAATCTAAGCTGGTACTCAAGACTATGCTAAACTTGATAACGTTCGATCATAAAGAAATCTTTCATCGGAAAGGAAAAAGTTATTAATGGTAAGCTGAGTAATTTTCCAGTCACTCAATAGGCTCGGTGCCATCCTAGTTTCTTATTGACAATAAATCACGTTCACAATTAGTTGTAAACTGTTATGTGATGGATCATATGAAAAGATCGTTTAAATGGATTGGTGTTTCTATTCCACAGATTCTTTCATGTGTGATCGCTTTGCTTTCCGTGCGACAGCATGATAAACTAAATTGATCGACATTTGAACATACTGTAACAACTCATTCGAGTGGATTTCTTGATGAATGTCTACAGTTTTCATAGTGTGCAATCCTTTAATTTTTTTTCTGAACTTTGGAAATTTCACACATAAAAATCACATGCGCAACTTAACATTTAAGAATGATTTGATCATTCGTATTGGAGTATTGAATGCGTATGTGCTCATACACTGTTATCTCGACATCTTCGTTGTTGCATACTCGATAAATATGTCACAAGACGTCAAATTAATATCGTTTATTAGGGAGAGATTCTGTGGGATTTATGTACTTGTATAAGGAGTGTCACAGTCATGAATGCTAAATTGTTGCTAGATTGCTAGAATAGAATTTTTGCTCAAAAAAGATCAATTGGGATGCAAATTGTTGCTTTCCTATACAAGTATGTAAAAGAATATGTGCTGTCAAGCATGTTTCTGACGAAATATTCGAGGTATTTTTGGATTATGAGAAGTTTTTGAGAAATGCATTGTTTACACGCTACTGTTAAGTTCACTGATGGATGTATAAGTCGCAAGCAACTTATTCGTCACCACAAACTCAAATGAACGATAGTGACAACGGTCTGTAATACCCTCGACCTTATCCGGGATCCCATACTGCAATAAACAAATGAAGATAAATACAAAAAAAGGCTTAAACACAGCCGTAGACGTCTAAATCCTAAAGTTTGGTATTGCTAAACGTATCACATCATCAATGAACTCTTAAGAAGCACAAAAATGTCCGTATGACAATGAATAATTAATAATAATATGCCAATCAGTTAATATAATAGATCAAGGAAAACTATGATAAGATTATGAAGAGTAGTATGAAATGTTTGATCAACGCAAATAATGATTGAGAATAAATATAAAACATAGTCTGATATTCTTTCAAAATCTGAAACACAGAACATCTTCTAAAACTTATTCAAGGTCTTTACGTCATATCATATTTCATACTTATTCTCTCAACTTTACTGAGAATGAAAAAGATAAGAATATGCAGAAAGCATTGTGTTTAGTGATCATGTTCCACAATAAAATAGCTGCTCATCAAATTGATGATACAGCTTGTAAAAAGAATATATAGTTATCTGGTATTTAGCTTTGTTGACTCGTATCTGTATTACACTTTTGAAAGTTCTTTTACTATACAAGTACTCAGTAGTGTTTCATGCATCATTTTCCCCTTTGTATTCAAATAATTCTACTTTATCAAAAATAAATTTTCCATTATTTGAGTTCTATAGTTAGACTGTACTTTAAAAAACTTTTAAACTACTCCGTTGTCTAATATTTATTTATCTATATTTATACAAAACATTTGCGTATGCTATTTTTATTAATGTCATGTGATGTATTCGTCCTTTAAAAGAGGAGATAAGTGCAAAAAAAACAGAAGTCACAATTACTCTCAGATTTTTGTTTCCTTATCTATCAGTACTTTTTTCTTTTTCTCAGTCATATAATTTCAATATGAGTCGACATATAGTCATGTGTTTTGACTGCGTCGATCACATTTTTCTTATCAATGTCATAAGACTGATGGGTAACACAACGATAAAACCAACCCCAAGGGCAATAGCGTATGAAATATATTGTATTCCGCAGTTAATACATTATTCAGTTTAATAATGAATACATATCAACACAACAAAGAGGTATTTATAAGATTTTTTTTTCTATGGAAAATGTCAGAAGAGAATCCAAGAGAAAAAAATGTAATTTTTTACCTGCAAACTAGCCTGGAAATTGAAACAATCGACAGATTCATCTTTGAAACATGTGGATCTCACAGAACGTATTTATATTTATTTTTAACAGGATATTTCAAAAGTATTCGCTTTTCTGCGAGCTCAACTTCAAGCTAAAGAAAAAGAATTACTGGAATTACAACGAGTTGACCCATGTTTATTAGCACCTGACTCTAATCAAATTGACATGCTGGTTGATGCAATTGTTTCTCTTCAGTTGTCAACTCAAGAAGGATCATTTGTTTTTGCATCGACTTCTATTTCCAATAACACACCACCTTGTACAAGCGTTTGTTCAACTGGTTTGAACTCAATCAAAACTCTTCCATCTTCAGTTTGGCTTTCGCCATCGAATTCTGTGAAACAAAAAAATGAACAACATTCATTTATGCTCAGCCATCTTTTATCATTACCTATTACTGCTTATCTAGCATCATCGTTTCCATTATTTGAAACAACAACTAAAACACAAAATCGATCATTAAATCATGTTCCTATGGTTAATCATTTGCTCTTTATGCCTATTGATACTTTCAAAGCATCTTCTAAAATTCCTTTGCCGACTAAAATAAAAAATAATAAAAATATGTACGTATATTTAATAATTTTTTCTAATGAGTTTTATTTCGGGGATGCTAACATAGTCAAGATTAATACATTGAAATGATATTTCGTGCTAAAATTGAATGTATCTTCTCGTATTATTCATATTTAGTATCATAATCTAACATTGTAGAATCATAAATATTCAGTATTTGATTTTGTTTTCAGACAAAACAATGAATCATCAACAATAGATAAAACGAAGAGTATTTTGAATAGCGAAGTGATTTTTTCAAAAGAATATTGGCTTCAAAACAACCAAAATGCATCGTCTGCAGCAGATGAAATATCTTGTCATACTTGATACAATGGAAACGTCTTCAACTTCGAAAAATGCTCTTCAATAATTCAATGAATCGAGTTGATAAATAAAAACTATGTCATCGTTGAACTTTTATGGATTTGCCTTCCGTCATAAATATAACTATGTTCTCTGTTAGTTAAAAAAATGATTAAAAATGTAAAGCATTATTTTTCTGTATATTATTCTTTGTTTTTATTTTGAATATTTAAACATAAAAATATTGATTGCATTAAAATATTATTTGTATTTCGTAAGAAAGTTTTCGTACTTTTCACAAAGATCGATATATATTTAAGAAGTTTCTGAAAAAAAAGATATTAGCAAGCAGTAGTAAGAAAATTGTTTAATTCTATCGTAATCAAAATGTTTTCTTTTATTAGATAACTATTCATTCATGTTTTGAATCAAGATTATATAAACCATATTACTCCTTATGAAATTATAATTATTTTTAGAAAAATTCATGTTAAAGCTTAAAAAGAAAATCAGTAAACTCTGATTTAGTTCATCTGAACTGAATTATTAAAAATACATCGAAACGATTGTAAGCTCTAATCCTTATGCACTATGCACGTATGTAAGACATTTAATCTCCTGTTATTACAGCAAAAGCGAAGATGAATACAATTGACAAAGTTTATTAGTCGCCCACCAGTATTACAACTTTATCAAATGTTCAATTTCGAAAAACTAGATTTTTTCGCTTTATTTTATTTACAAACGAATCATAAAATCTTTATATTTTCTGATCAAAACTTCTGACATGCATATATTCCAAAACAAGTTTTCTTGATCGAATTATCAATTATTTAATTTTATGCTTTAAATTTTTTATTAAACAAAATGGTTATATGATATTTCAGATTTGTTGTTTCAAATGCAAGAGTTATTATAATCAATATACTCTGACAAGAGTATTAGTTCTTTTCCCTTGAGCTATCAATCTTATTTTACAATGACAACAACTAATAAAGCTCATAGCAGTTGAATTAACACTAATTATTTTTATTTCTATTGATGTGCTATAAGCAGTGATCATAGGATTTTTTTTTCAAATGAACTCTTGTCTAACGTAAAAATCACCACTAGAGATATGTGGGGCCAACTTGTAGCTCCAACTTCAGTCTTGGATTATGGGAAAGAGAACTTGCTCAGACCGAGATCGAGACTAAGAGACAAAATGTGTTCTAACCGGAACAAATGATTATAGTTAAACATTCTATGGTTTTATGTAAATTATCTTATAAGTCACATCAATGAGAACATTATTTAAGAGAGATGACACAAAAGAGTCGTACTCATCGAGTTCAAAAATGAAAAAAAAAGCATTAAAAAATATTTTAAAACTTGATACGAAAAAATTTGTGAATAATTTTCTCTAAGCTGCGACCAAATTAGATTTACCGTAATCATAATCGAGACCGAGACTATGACCAGGACCAAAAACAGCATGGTCCCGCACATCTCTAATCACACCTATCAAAAAGTGTCTCTATCTATGCACAGAAATGAGAATATTGAAGAAAAAAACTAGAAGAATAGCAATACAACATATAGTTAACAGTTAATCATAATAATGTGGTTTAATCCTTTGGTTAATAACGACGCAAATATGCATCACAGGCTTTATCATTGCGTGAAACTCATGCAATCGCTTATAATGCATGTCTTTTTTTTGCTACACATTCCCATCAAAGCAAATGTCAGGCAGTAGAAGCTTTTATATCATCATTTTGTTATATAACACGCTGGAGCCACACCATAAACAGTTGTAACAACTTTTCTCAAAAATTGTTTTTCCTTTCTTAGGTATATCGATAATTAAAAGGTTAAGAAACTTTACACCTCTTATATGATTAAAGTAACTGGTTTTGGTGTTTTCTGAATGGACGTGAATATGCTTAAACGAGAACTGCACTAAGGATGTCCAAGCGAGTTTTCAAAAATTCTTATCTACTTGGATATTCTTTAAAACATGACTCAGAATAATTCATAGTGCATGATTGTTATTTTTCTTAATCCTATTATTTATAAATACGAGGAGCTGTATACTGGAGTTTAATGCATACTAAGAAAAAGTTCTTATGTACTGTATGATTTTCAATATGAAAAGATCAACAAGTCATGATTTTAACTTTGTTCACTTTCTTTGTAAGTTAAAAGCTCGAAAATTTACCCTTCTTTCAATCGTTTTTATATTCAATGAAAGGCAAAGTTTTTTTGTAATTTTCTCAGATTATATTACCTAATACGATAGTAAAATGCTATGCATTATATATGTTTCCGACAATATTGAATTGTTGCATTAAGAAAGAAAGACTATTATTTCGATTGAAAAAAAAGTTGTATCAGCTCCATACTATTGATATCTTTCCTACAGAAAGTCTTCTCAAGAAAAAATATCAATTACTAAAATATGAAATCAAGCGAAAGAAAAAAAAACATGATATAGCAAAACAGAATCTCAAAATAAATGGAAAGAAAGTTCATTTATTTAAAATAAATAAATGATTAACCAGAAAAAAAATGGAGAACATCATCTTTAATATCAATAGGAAAAAAATCTCTAACTCGAAGAAAGAATAAAAAAAAGATTAAAAGATTATCAATGTTATGATTGTTCACCATCAGTACTATTTGATGGTGGTGCTTGTAAATCATTAAAATGAACAAAACGATTGATTAATTTTTGGATGTTGTTGTCGGTGGTAAACCTGTTGATGTTGAACTTGATGGATCATTATTGATATCTAATTTTTTACCAGTTAAAAATTCATATAAGATTGGACTTAATTTACCAAATTTTTGAATCTACGAAAAAAAAAAATAAGAATTTTTGTAGAATAATGATATCTTACTGAAAAGTCAGATCCGTTCCTTTTTATACATAACCATTTATTTCAATATCGATATCTTTAAGTTTTCTATTACGTCGTTTAGTAACATCAAGTATATCTTGACCAATCTTATCAAAAGGTAAATGACAGAGAAAAAGAAAGGAAGATTATTGATTTATTTCGTTTAGTCTTGATGAAAAACGTGAAAGAGGATAACGACGAAAATGTAAGCGATATAAATGAAAAGAACGAAGTAAGAATTCGTAAAGGAAAATGTCGAAATAATTCATCTATTCTTGTGATACACAATGAATACTATTTTTGTTTCGTTTACAAAAAATCAACAGAGAACAATTGACTAAAACAACATCTTAATAAAACTTCACATTGTTATCATTTTTTAATTAATTCTTTAGTAGACTTTTTCCTTTTAATTCATACAAATAAATACCAACAACCATTATTAAACTAAATATTAACATAATATCGAACCATGTTACATACAGTGAATCAATTTGAGATGTTCCACTTGAGTTATTTTTATTAAATGATAAAAGTATTTCCTATTCTTCATTTGAATATAATGAATTATTTCTCATTAGATTTCCATTAATTACATTTAATAATATCAATATTATAGCGAAGACAATCATCTAATAAAATTAAATTACGGATGATATCAATCCATCATTTAGTCAATTCATTTTATTATAAAAAGAAAAGTTAAAAATAGATTCTCTAATGAAATGATCATCAAACACGAATAGGGGTGTGACAATTCCATATCAGTTCAGAGAGCGAGAACTGGCATAACAAATCAAGCTTATCTGAAAGGAGCTGATCACTAGATCTTTACCACAGTTCATGAGTTGGTACTGGCACACCTGCTAATTCATGTAAAGTTGATAATACAGGAAAATTAAGCATGTTTGTGTAACGACAACATTAGTTGATTATCACTAATCAGTTATCATTGGAACTTCGGACAAAGTAAGTGTATGTTTGCTTTTTTTGTCGTCAAACATGCGAGAATATATGTTAAAGGAAACAAAATTAATCCAATTTTACTAGTAGAGTAGTCAACAGGTGACTTTGAGAGCTCAGCATTTCCACCAACTGAAGTCCGACGGCAAAACTCCGTCATGAGCTTCTCTATCGAATTGTGTGTGACTACTGGAGCTTTCTCGCTTCCTGGTAGAGAGGCCGACAACAATGAGTCTTCTTGCTGTCAAACTCCTGGTTACGCCACTCTATTCTAAAATTGCTGTAGGCTCTAGTGTTTGTGAGTTGACACAATATGTGTATCTATCACGATCGTGAATGATGGTATTTCATTTTTTTTTTGTTCTACGTTGTTTCCAGTGTCAGTTATTACAATTGTTCTGTTGAAAGACCTAAAGCTATTTAACAGCTTTTTTGAATATGAAACGAGCTGGAACTGGTCACCAGCTCTTTATCTCAACTCCTCACAGTTCCCTAACTTGAACTGTCTCATACTCTAAACACGAATAAAGTTTCCAAAAAAGAACAAACCATTTTTTTTTTCTTGCTTTTCACTTTAATAGAACATTCTATCTTTGAAAAAAGTTCTAAAAACGTACTTTTAGAAAAAAAAGTATTTGATCAATTAACTGTTAAATTAATGATTAGAAATGTGTATATTTCACTCTCGGTATATTAAGAAAAAACAATAAACGTTATAACGGCATCTGTTTTGGAATATTCTAGATGAAACAAGTACACCCGACAAAAGTATCTAAAAGAATATTAATGTTATCAATTACATTTTCAAAAGAGATCACAGATAAGAATTTATTGTATAAAATTAATTAAAATTTATTTTTATTCAATGCAACTTTTTTTAAATGACGCAATTCTTCTTTTAAGCTAAATATATTTCTCTGTTCTTTAGACATCCATATATTAAATAATTTAATAAAAAGATTTTCAATAAGTGATATATACAAATCATTATAACAGACAGATTTTATGTGTTTTCAAATACATTTAATCAGACATTTCTAATACATTTATTTCCAGTTAATAGACAAATCAATTTTCATTATAGAAAAGGCTGTCAATTCTCGCAATTTTAAATTAAGGTGAGTTTTTTTGTAAACAGACAATTCTAATACCTGAGAAATATTCTCAAATTCGACTGAATTAGTGGAACTTTGAGTAGTATTAGGTATTCACGAGATCAAGAATATGGGAGAAAAATTGAGAACACGTCGCTGGTGTAAGATACATTCTGTCTTATTCTGAATAGAAACCTTTCTCAATGACCTAACGCCTATATGTTTTTACAAATCTGTTTAGAATAGAAGAATTTGTCTTTTTATAATGAATAAAAAACAAAAAAATTCGATATTTAAACGAATTAAAATAAAATAAATCTCATAAATAAGTTCAATAAAAACTAAGGTTGTCTAGCAGCATTCGAAATTCATTGTGGTAGATCAATATCATTACTAAAAATTGATTCATTAATATTAGGGCCATGTTTTTGTTTGTTAAAATGAATATGATGTTCAATAATAAATGAATATGATGCCTTTTTTCTTGAAATAGGAACAATCATTTGTCTATGCATACATGGTATAACATCATATAATTGATGATGAAAATTTTTTCTTGATA